CTCCCGTATAAGTTCATCTTGGAACACACGAAAAGATTCGCGGGTAAAAATCGCAGCGGCATGGCTTTCAAGGTCGACCAGTTTTGTGATCTGGAAGGGCTTCGTATGGGAACTTAAGTAATCCGCTTTCAACTCGTTCATACGCATTCTACTAATTCCATCTTCAATTGCACGAACAACATCTAAATATGTCTTCTTGTGTTTCAGTGCAATAGCTAGTGAAGCATTCATAGACTCGCACCTTTGTGTTGAGCGAATATTGGCAAAGAAATGACCGGTTAGATATGCTTGTGCCCATAAGTGTCGTGTATTTCCCTTCTCAATCACCCATGGATGCTTTTGGACGTTGAATTCTGAAACAATCGAACGCCATTGAATATCAAATTCCTTGGTTGTCCACCAGGAAGCCATGCATTTTGAGAATGCTGCTGTAAACTTTGGGTCACCAATGTTAGCTTGTGCATTGTGAGAAAGATGCCAAGAACATAATCTGTGCTTAGCATAAGGGATAACAGATTTGATAGCCCTCTGCATTGCCCTATCCCCATCGGTTACAACGGAAATAGGTGATTTATTCATCATGGCTTCTAAAAAATTCTGTAGCACCCACTCGAAAGATTGAGACGTCTCGTCAGCGATTATGGCAGTGGAAAACACAATTGTGTTATGGTGATGATTGACACCAACAATAGGCATAATTGGTCGACCATACAAATTATCTTTGTACGTTGTGTCGAACGCAATTACATCACCGAAGCATGTGTAATCCGATCTCGATGTAGAATCCGACCAAATAAGATTATACAATGCCCCCGATTCGTCTACCGAGTATGTCATAAAAAACCCGGGATCATCATGTTTCTTATAATCAAAGTAGGCAATAAGCGCATTCACATCCCCATCGACGATTTCCTTTGCTTTACCTCTTTGAAGTGCATTGTAGAGGTCTTTATGTGTAAATCCAACATTATGATAGCCCCCTGCCTGCTGCGTTAAATAGTTCATTACTTGTGACGTGCCAACACCGACCTCTTTCAATGTTGTTGCCTCATCGATATCAGCCTTACTTACAGCTCTATTAGAACGCATAAATGGTGTCATAGCAGATGTGCACAATGCATGATTATGTTTCTGATCAGACTTACTTATAACCCACTGATCGTTTGTATTTGTTGCTGTAACTACGACTCTAGCCTTACATCCTGTTCTTGTGACTGGCGTATGAGCACGTTGACGATCAACAGTATTGACTTTTGATACTCGAAACCCTTCTTTGGAACAACAAAATTCTTGTGTCTTCACATTCCCTTCCACGTCAAGCCGTGTTGTTCCCTTACGTGCACTAAACCCATGTTCCCGTGCGAATCCCTTGTAAAAGTGCCAAGCTTGATCACGTGAACAGAAGAGCTGACCAACCAATCTGTCAGATTCATCAACATTATGTACTTCATGGCATTCCTCGGTTGGCTTAACATTGTCTACATCAGTATTATCCATGGCAAAAATTTTGTTGTGCAAGTTCAGTGCTCCAGGAGTTGATGGAGATGTAAGCAAAGGTTCATTTTGAACATGTTTCAGTCGTGCTGCTTTCACTATGATGTGGCATTGGTAGTGGTAGTTAAAGGGTGGGTACAACATTAAATTCACAGTACATATTTAGGTATGTACAATAACTACAAGTATATATTATCATTAAATTTAGGTATGTACAATAACTACATATTTAGGTATGTTTGTTAACTACATATTTAGGTATATACATCTTTTGAGTGAGTTTTAAGATATTAATTTAGTAATTATAGGCGTCTAATGATTTATTTTTTACGTTACGGTATATAAACATATATATTACATATTTATTATTATCTTTGGTTAATGTTGTTAAATTTAAATTATAAATATTATTTTATAAAATATCAAAACAATCAAATAATTTTTTGTGTAAATGAAATTATTAAATTAATATTGTAGGTGGAAAACATGAAACACTGTTAAAAAATTGAAACATAAATTACATAACTTTTAAAAAAAGTATCGATCCTTTTTATAAAAAGTATGGACACTTTCAATATAATAGGTAAACATATGATGTAATAGGTAGCGCTTATATAATGTAATAGGTATCGTTTATATAATGTAATAGGTAGTGGTTATATTGTAAAGTATCTATCCTTTTTATAAAAGTGTCCATACTTTTTTCACTGTGGAAAACATTAATTTAAGGTTATCTTTTGAGTGAGTTTTAAGATATTAATTTAGTAATTATAGGCGTCTAATGATTTATTTTTTACGTTACGATATATATTATTATTAAATAAAAAATTTAAATATTATTTTATAAAATATCAAAACAATCAAATAATTTTTTGTGCAAATAAAATTATTAAATCAAATTACTTTATTCCAACCATGTGACAAGTGTGACAACTCCATCAACTCACAACTCAGCTTTGAACTCAATCAATATTGTCTTTTAGCTTGATGGTTCATAAAGCATGTTACTTGAACAGTATGAATCAATTATGCAATTTTCATGTTCAATTTAACATTGCATTTCAAATTCATTTCATATGTAATTGGAGTTTGAATTTAAATTTCAATTTGAGTTTGAATTTCAATATATACTTCGGCTCCACTATAAATATTAGCCCAAGCCAATATGCATGATAACATTGATTATTCCTAATTTCCATTGTTTTTTTCCAACGTTTAAACGCGAGGGAAATCCCGACCATTGTATTTTTTGGTCAACTTTAAAGCGTCAGAAACGTTTCGGGCGTATGATCTGGGTGGTAAACAAATAGCAACTAAAATCATAAGTCCGAAATGCTTCTGAGTACCACCCAAATCATAAGTCCGAAATACTTCCGATGCTCATCAAAATCCAAAGCTCATATGGTGCCAAGCAAAAGGAAATCAAAATTCAAATCTCATATGATGCCAAGCAAAAGGAAATCAAAATCTACAACTTGAGTTTGAACATTGATATGATATGTTCAGTTGTTATCATGTTGGGATTTTCTCGTTTTTGATTGCTTGGATAGTTGTTCTCTAGCTTCTTCAAGTGTCCTTAGCTTGTAATTTATAGCTTGGAATGTGTTTGATGTTGTATATATTATTATTAAATTAAAAACAATAAACATATATATTACATATTTATTATTATCTTTGGTTAATGTTGTTAAATTAAAAATTCTAAATAATATTTTATAAAATATCAAATAATCAAATAATTTTTTGTGCAAATGAAATTATTAAATTAATATTGTAGGTGGAAAACATGAAACACTATTAAAAAAATTTGAAACATAAATTACATAACTTTAAAATAAGTATCGATCATTTTTATAAAAAGTATGGACACTTTCAATATAATAGGTAAAAATATGATGTAATAGGTAGCGCTTATATAATGTAATGGGTATCATTTATATAATGTAATAGGTAGTGGTTATATTGTAAAGTGTCTATCCTTTTTATAAAAGTGTCCATACTTTTTTCATTGTGGAAAACATTAATTTAAGGTTATCTTTTGAGTGAGTTTTAAGATATTAATTTAGTAATTATAGGCGTCTAATGATTTATTTTTTACGTTACGATATATATTATTATTAAATTAAAAATTCTAAATAATATTTTATAAAATATCAAAAAATCAAATAATTTTTTGTGCAAATGAAATTATTAAATTAATATTGTAGGTGGAAAACATGAAACACTATTAAAAAAAATTGAAACATAAATTACATAACTTTAAAAGAAGTATCGATCCTTTTTATAAAAAGTATGGACACTTTCAATATAATAGGTAAAAATATGATGTAATAGGTAGCGCTTATATAATGTAATGGGTATCGTTTATATAATGTAATAGGTAGCGGTTATATTGTAAAGTGTCTATCCTTTTTATAAAAGTGTCCATACTTTTTTCACTGTGGAAAACATTAATTTAAGGTTATCTTTTGAGTGAGTTTTAAGATATTAATTTAGTAATTATAGGCGTCTAATGATTTATTTTTTACGTTACGATATATATTATTATTAAATTAAAAATTCTAAATAATATTTTATAAAATATCAAATAATCAAATAATTTTTTGTGCAAATGAAATTATTAAATTAATATTGTAGGTGGAAAACATGAAACACTATTAAAAAAAATTGAAACATAAATTACATAACTTTAAAAGAAGTATTGATCATTTTTATAAAAAGTATGGACACTTTCAATATAATAGGTAAAAATATGATGTAATAGGTAGCGCTTATATAATGTAATAGGTATCGTTTATATTATGTAATAGGTAGTGGTTATATTGTAAAGTGTCTATCCTTTTTATAAAAGTGTCCATACTTTTTTCACTGTGGAAAACATTAATTTAAGGTTATCTTTTGAGTGAGTTTTAAGATATTAATTTAGTAATTATAAGCGTCTAATAATTTATTTTTTACGTTACGATATATATTATTATTAAATTAAAAATTCTAAATAATATTTTATAAAATATCAAAAAATCAAATAATTTTTTGTGAAAATGAAATTATTAAATTAATATTGTAGGTGGAAAACATGAAACACTATTAAAAAAAATTGAAACATAAATTACATAACTTTAAAAGAAGTATCGATCCTTTTTATAAAAAGTATGAACACTTTCAATATAATATAATATAATAGGTAAATTTGTAATACTATCGGTATAAATATACCGGTTTACTTATAAAATAGGTAAATATAAGCGCTATCTATTACATTATATAAGCGCTACCTAGTATATTATTGTACTTTATAATATTTCCGGTTAAATAATATAACATAACCTGTATAAATTTTAACCGGTCACTTGTTTAACCGATCACGCCGTATATTAACCGTTTTTTAGGCGCCGCACCGCAGAACTAACCTATTTTACATTCAGCGTAAATCTGACGCCGCCTTCCAGGCTACTGCAACAGTTAAAAACAAACACTTCCTTTCTCTCAGTCTCACTCTCCCGTACTTGCCTTTTTATATATTACAAAAAACCCTAAACCGCCCTATCTGTGCCTTTTTTTTAAAGCAGTTATGGCAAGCAAAGAGCCCGATCACGAGCACAGAGAAGACGAAGAAACGCCCGCCGCCGATGATGAAGATACCGGAGCTCAAGTCGCCCCTATTGTCAAGCTAGAGGAAGTCGATGTCAGCACCGGAGAGGAAAACGAAGATGCCATCCTCGATCTGTCAGTGCTTTTCTTTTGTTTGTATTCTCGATTCGAATATTCGTAGATTTTTCTAGAGATCCGAATGATATGCATACACATAATTTTATTTACCAGGAAGTCGAAGCTGTATCGATTTGATAAAGAAGGGAATCAATGGAAAGAGAGAGGCGCTGGTACTGTGAAGCTGTTGAAGCACAAAGAGACTGGAAAAGTTCGTCTTGTTATGAGGCAATCTAAGATTCTCAAGATCTGTGCCAATCATCTGGGTATCTTCTCTTCCTCAATTCCCTTTCTGTTTTTTATTCTTATTTCTGAATTTCATAATTTGTATGCCAAAAAAAATTGTGCAGTGTTGCCGACGATGACGGTTCAGGAACATGCTGGGAATGATAAATCGTGCTTATGGCATGCTGCTGACTTTGCAGATGGTGAATTGAAAGACGAACTTTTCTGCATTCGCTTTGCATCCGTGGAAAGTAAGTATATTTTACTCTAAATCACTTCTCTAGTCTCTAGCATGCTAAATGAATTGAATGAATGTTGTTTCGATTCTTTTTTAAAGTTTAAACTACAATCTGGATCTGCACATCGGGGCATTTTAAGTCCACAGAATTTCATAGAATGGACTAGTTGTGCAGTGGTATTTTCTTCAAGTAGTTATTGATTGGCATTTTGTTTACTTGTTCTTTCAAAATTAAATTAATAGGAATTGAAGTTTTAATTTGTTTTTCGTTGTCTGAGCTGGTATTAGTTTCAAATAATTGTCTGGTAAAAATTGATTGTATTTTACTAATGTATATCATGAAGTTGCAAACAAGTCTCACACTTGAGTGTTGAGTACTATTCCAGACCTGTTTACTTAAATCGGGGAACTTGAAATTTCCACTGCTCAGACTTAGAAGGAAATTGGAAGCATTTTCACATGTTAACCATAGTGTTTTTCTTGGGTTTGATATTTACATTCTTTGAAAACAAATAAGATTGTATAAGGTTACATTTAACTTTTTTATTGATGACAAATAGCATTTAGATATGTACTCTAGGATGTCCAATTGAAGATATTTAAAATTAACTATTGTTGCCTGTGACTCGTCTTAATCATGCATGATTGAATACTTGAGCTGATCTTATAAGTCTTTTAGACATGATAAAATCAGTTATATATATGATTTGTCTCTTTTATCGATGTAATAACAATGCTTTAGAGTTCGATTTACAAAGAAAAATGTTTGATTGGAATTGTGAAAGTTGCCTTTATTGTTCCTTCGAGGAACAAGTGCTCAGAGAATATCAATTAGAGTTAATATAAATGAGTTTAGATTGTTGTTATAGAAGGCTGATGATGGGTTCTTTGAGATCTGGCTTCTTTTTCAATTTTATTGCAATGACCGTTTTGCTTTGAGGGAATAAAGCCGTTTGCTTTATACTGATTTTACTTTTGTCTTAAAATTAGATTGCAAAGCCTTCATGGAAATGTTCCAAGAGGTTGCTGAATCACAAAAATCTATAGATGAAAACAAAGATGCATCTGCTGCTGCGGAGTCGCTTGAGAAGTTGAGTGTTAAAGAAAAGAAAGCTGAGGAAAAAGCTGGAGAGGCTGTTGCTACGAAGGAAGAAAAGGAAACCGAAGTTGAGAATACAGGAAAACCAGATAATGAGAAGAAAGATGGGGAGCCAGCTTCCTCTACCTGAAAGGAGGTTGGGTTTTGTTTTCCATGCCATAGGCTTTTGACGAATGTGGTGAAATTAGACGCCTGTTGTCACCTCCCTGGCCATGTCTGGCATATTCCTGCAGGTGAAACTAAATGGGAGTTTATGGGTTGGAATGATCGAGGTCTTTTGTATACTTGGGCTTGGGTGGTTGTCGAGTGTTGGTTAAACCCCGAGTCATATGTCGGTCACATTTGCATGGTTATAGTTGCGTTTGGGTTTTTAGTGTCAAGGTGATTTCATTGGACTAGGGTTTCCTGGTAGTATTAGTATTTTAGTGTCAAAGTTCTTTTGCTGCTCAGCCCATGCATTGAAAGAATTCTTGTTATAGATTTTTTTTTGTGTGGGTGGGGGTAATATTTTGAATTTTGTGTTTGGGTGAAAAAGAATTTGGTATGCCAGAATTGGCTATAATTCAGTTGTGATAGCTTTAACAAAAACACCTATTTTTTTCTACGGTATTAAGAAATTATTGCATAATGGAAAAATCCTATTATGTTTAATTAAAGCAGCTATCTGTTGGTTGGTTTAAGTTAGACGGAGCCAGGAAAACAGGCTCGGGATTGACAGTGTGTGGTGGAGTATTACGTGATGTTAATGGATAGTGGGTCACGGGTTTTACCAAAAGCCGTAGGAATTTGCTCGGTTTTTGATATAGAGTTATGGGGAGTGTACGATGGATTACATTTAACCTGGGAATTGTGAAGGTATTACGTTTAACTTGGGTACGCAGTCTTATTATTGAATTAGATAGTAAAGATGCAATAGCACTGTGTTAATAACGCTATTACAATTTACAAGCAACAAATTTAGCTAATCTAGAACCTAGTATGGGAAACACACAATTAACAGACAGGACTAAGTAAAGCACTCCTTACACAAGTATAGGGTATCAGGGGCTAAAGGTTGTAGCTGCCACTGAACCTTCTTACCATTACTTAAAAGTTGACTCTACTGTTCGTTCCTATCTTGAAGTGCAGTCCCGGACATGTGAATTTCCAAAGCAACTTCCATAATAGCAACATTCGGGCATGCAAGGGAGACATAATAGGAAGAGATTTGCATGCTGTGATATAGTAGTTTGAGAATGGCCAAGGCAACGCCTCCAACTCAATTGAATGAAGGGTTAGGGGGACTGTAAAACACCAGAAGAAACCGTTTCTTAATGTGGTACCTGGAAAAGAAGGTGCTTCCATCTGACTCACCTCGGTCGGCGACTGGCCAGTCTCGCTAATGATTGCACTGTGGAAGGACTGAATCAAGGTGTAATAATATCTGGTTCGTCCAATAGCGGATTTAGGTCAATTGAATCAGACATCATTGAGCCCCTTGTATGTTTCCCACATTATATATGTCCCCATCATCCACAGCTTCTCTCCTCTACATTCTGTTGGTAGACCTGATTCCAATGACTAAGCCATTAAAGCATGAAAAAAGGGAACTCAGAACCAAATCATACTACTATGGCAAGATCAATTGTTCAATAGTAGTTCCGTCACCACTCACCATGTTGGCCTTTTGCGTGGTTAATTTACATCATCTATCTTAAGCTAAGTTTTCTTTCCCTTTTTTTTGTTTTAAACGGGCTAGATACAAAGTCTAAAATAACCTTGCTATTCCCAACATTATTGCCCAGGAAAAACCCTTAGGTGACTTTTTGGTTATCTGAAATCACTTGTAATTAGGGGGAATTAAAATCCAATTTTATTAAGGGAGAGAAAGTAAATTTCATCTATAATATGATGGAATTAAAATCATTTGGAGGAGGGAATGTGAAATTTGATCATACTACCCTCATCAATCTTTTGGTATTCGGGTCGGATTTTTTAAAAAAAATTTCGGGTTTGGGTCGGGGTCGGGTTTTTTTAAAAAAAATTCAAGATCGGGTCGGGTTTTTTTAAAAAACAATCGGGTTCAGGTCGGGGTTTTTAAGTTTGATATTCGGGTCGGGTCGAGTTGAGTTTAGGGTGAAAAATACCCGACCCGACCCAAAAAAAAATATATAATTTTACCTTATATATTCAGGAATAATTACAATAATACCCCTCTATATATAATTTTTTTCAATTAAGTCACTGTTTTTATTGAATAAAAATATTTTTTTTATTATTTTGGGTCGGGTTTCTAATTTATATATTCGGGTCGGGTCGGGTGAAAATTTATTTTGGTCGGATCGAGTCTCAAGTGGAGGTTCCCTTATTCTTGGGTCGGGTCGGGTGGACCAAAAACCTAACCCAACCCGACCCAAGACCATCCCTAATTGGGATAATTTTAACTTATGATGTTCATTAATATGATTTTTATAATTTATTGAAATGAATAATCAATCAATAAAATAAAAATTTAATATTTTTTAAATTTTTATAATATATTGATACATGTAAGTTATAAAACAAACTAAAATTAAATAAAAAAATAATAAGGGTAATTTTGTTATTTTACATTACTAAAATCAAATTCATCTGACATGTATATGAATCAAATAAAATATAAAATTATAATTTACTACAAACCAAACAAGTTTCAAATTTAGATTCTAATTCCTTCGTATTCTAATTCATTAACCGATTCTAATTTCCAGAAACATTCTAGCGACGCTACCTTACTTCTTTACATTCTGCGTAAACCTCACGCCGCCTTCCGGGCTGCAACAGTTCAAAATAAACATTTCTTACTCTCTCTCTCCCCCCTTTATAAAAACCCTAACAGCCTGATATATTCATTTTCTTATTCTTAATTGAAAGAAACAAACACGCTCCCCTCTCTCTAAAAAGTAGTTATGGCAAGCAAAGAACCCGATCACGAGCACAGAGAAGACGAAGATGCGCCCGCTGCCGAGGATGAAGATACCGGGGCTCAAGTCGCCCCTATTGTCAAGCTTGAGGAAGTGGCTGTTAGCACCGGCGAGGAAAACGAAGATGCCATCCTTGATCTGTAAGTATTTTTTCCGTTTATTTATATTTCCGATTCGAATATTCGTTGATTTATCTAGAGATCCTAATTATATGAATATCTTTAATTATATTTACTAGGAAATCGAAGCTGTATCGTTTTGATAAAGAAGGGAATCAATGGAAAGAGAGAGGCGCTGGTACTGTGAAGCTGTTGAAACACAAAGAGACGGGGAAAGTTCGCCTTGTTATGAGGCAATCTAAGACTCTCAAGATCTGCGCCAATCATCTAGGTATCTTCTTTTTCTTTATCTCTTCCTCAGTTATGTTTTTTATTTTTTTTCCGTTTTCTGATTCCCCCCCCCCCATAATTTTGCAGTGTTGCCGACGATGACAGTTCAGGAGCACGCTGGGAATGATAAATCCTGCTTATGGCACGCTTCTGACTTTTCGGATGGTGAATTGAAAGATGAACTTTTCTGTATTCGTTTTGCATCAGTGGAAAGTAAGTATATTTTGTTCTAAATCACTTTGCTACTTTGCTAAACGAAATTGAAATCATGTTATTTCAACTGATTTAATCTACGATATGGATCTGCACATCAGGGTTTGTAGTAAGTGAACAGAATTTCATAGAGTGGACTAGTGGGACATTGGTATTTTCTTCAAGTAGTTCGTGACTTGCATTTTAGTCAAGTATTCTTATCTTGATGAATGTTTGAAAGCTTGGTTGAGCACAATTAAAAGGTTCAAAAATTAAATTCAGAGTAACTGAAATTTTAGTTTTTGTTCTATCTGTATGAGTTGGTATCAGTCTCATTTGCTTTAAAATGATATAGTTTTAGTGTTTTACTAATTCATAGCATGAACTGGAAAACAACTTTCATACTTCAATTTGAGAGATACTATAGTCGTGTTTCCTTAAAAATTGCTGTGAATTTCAAATGTTTTCCCCAGTAGCGCATGTTTATTTATATGGAAATTGGAAACATTTTTGTGTGTTAACCATTGTGGTTTTATTGGGGTTGATATTGTTTGGAGAATCATTGAGATGTTACTCCGATAAGGTTATAATGAATTTTGTATTGAGGACCCATGCCATTTAAATAAGATTTGTACTCTAGGATATCCAATTGAATAATTTAAAATTAACTGTTGCTTCTTGTGAACTCAGAGTAACTGAAATTTTAGTTTTTGTTCGATCTGTATGAGTTGGTATCAGTCTCATTTGCTTTAAAATGATATAATTTTAGTGTTTTACTAATTCATAGCACGAACTGGCAAACAACTTTCATACTTCAATTTGAGTGATACTATAGTCCTGTTTCCTTAAAACTTGCTGTGAATTTCAAATGTTTTTCCCAGTAGCGCATGTTTATTTTTATGGAAATTGGAAGCATTTTTGCGTTTTAACCATTGTGGTTTTATTGGGTTTGATATTGTTTGGAGAATCATTGAGATGTTACTTCGATGAGGTTATATTGAATTTTACGTTGAGGACACATGCCATTTAAATAAGATTTGTACTCTAGGATATCCATTTGAATAATTTAAAATTAACTGTTGTTACTTGTGAACTCTTGCTCTAATGGATATGATTGAATCCTGAGTTGAATCTAAAAGTCTTTTAGCCATGAATCTAGAGAACTTGATATTCCATGAAAATGGAACTGTTTTGAGTGGCTTTTATTATTTCTTTTCCGGGGTAAGTGTTACAAAATATCAGTAGCAGGTAGCGGAAACAGAGATGGATTGAGATTGGTTATCATGGCTTGTTTTCTTTGTGATATGGCTTCTTTTTGGTTTTATTATGAAGTTTTGTTTTGAGGGAATTAAGCTTTTTGGTTTTTAATGATTTTCCTTTTTTTCCCCTTAAAATAGATTGCAAAACCTTTATGGAAATCTTCCAAGAAGTGGCTGAATCACAAAAATCGAAAGAGGAAAATGAAGATGCATCTGCAGCTGCCAAGTCACTTGAGAGGTTGAGCGTTGAAGAAAAGAAAGCTGAAGATAAAGTTGGAGAGGAGAAGGCTGTTGCTACAAAGGAAGAGAAGGAAACAGAAATTGATAATACAATTAAAGCAGATAGTGAGAAGAAAGACGGGGAGGCTACTTCCTCTACCTAAAAGGATCCGGCTGGGTTTGTTTTCCATGCTGTAGGCTTTTGGCGAATATGGAGAGATTTCTCAATCATCTGATTCTACGCATGTCTAGCGTATTCTTGGGAGTGAAAACATATTGGTTGAATGGTCGTGGTCCTTTGTGGCCTTACGTTTGGGTGTGTGTTGAGGGTTGGTCAAACCCTGAGTCATGTTTGCATGGTTAGAGTTGCGTTTGGAATTTGGATAGTGTGGAGGGCTCATGCAACTGGATTTTCCTGGTTAGAAATATCAGCGCGTCAAAGTTCAATTGCTGCTCAGTCCATGCATTGAATGAGCTATTGTTATAGACAAGTTTTTTTAAAAGTACTTTTATTGGATTTTTTTTTTATATTTTGTATCTCTGTATCTCAATATTTGGAAGTTTAGATGAGAAGGAAATATAATTCTGATAGCTATTATATTTCTACGGTATTAACAAATGACTGCATAAAGGAAAAAAAAATCCATTAGAGGTGTATAAAAAATTTGAATATCCAATTTTATGCAAAAAAAAAAAAAATATCCGAAATCGGATTTGGAAAAATCGGTTTTTTTAAACCGGATCGAATTTTTTTAACCGGTTATTTTAACCGGTTTGGGTTTAAAAAATTAGTCGTTAATATAGCCGTTGGGGGGTTTTGTGATTGTTTTTGACCGTTTTTTCTTAAAAAAATTACCATTTTACCACCCTAAACTAGGGTTGCACAGAAGTCGGATTTCAATCCGATCCGGATCGATTTTTATCCGATCCGGTTTTTTCCCATAGAAAAAAAACCGGTTTATAAAATAACCGGTTCGGTTTCTAATCGGTTTGGAGGGCCGGATATCCTAACCGGTGTAACCGGTTTCGGTTTTAAAAAAACCGGTTTTTTAAAAAAACCGGTTATAAAAAAATCGATTTTAATATTATTAAAATTACATCGTCATCAATTGCAACAAAGTTTACGATAATTGAAATACTTAAATACTTCCAAGTTTGATAAATTCAAATACTTAAAAACTTCCAAGTTCGATAAATTCAAATACTTAAAAACTTCAAGTTCGATAACTGAAACAAAGTTTACGATAATTGAAATAAAGTTTAAAAATAAACTACATTGCCATCTCTTCTTCATCATCTTCGCCTTCTTCGTTTGGATGAGATATTCCAAGTTCGACTTCTTCAATGTGTAAGTTTGTTTCCAAATCGGCATCAATTGCATTTTCTAGGGTGGTGATATGTTGCTTACGAGCCGCTCCATCCAAATAATCTTTTAAACAAATGCATACTTCCACCGACTCGGGACTTAGTCTTGATCTCCGTTGAGATATAACCCTGCCATTAACAGAAAAAGCGGATTCCGAAGCTACCGTAGAAACTTGGACGGTTAGTAAATCACGGGCCATGGCGGCTAGAATCGGAAATTGTGCTTCCTTTTCTTTCCACCAACCTAAAATATCCAAACTTTCAAACTCTTCAAATGTCATTTTTTATAAAAACTCGCATGACATGTAATTTCCCAACTCGCTACTTGGGTGGTAGTACGTGATCATTTGGATTGGGAATTTACAAGAGTGTTAAAAAGATTCAAATTTATGTTACTTGGACGTCTACTAGATGATTCCGCATTCATTCTCATTTGATCATGTATTACACTATTTGATCTGTATTTAGTTAAATAAATTGCAAACATGTCTCGAAAACATTTGTTAAAATAATTTATTTGGTTTTGGACAAAGTTAGGTTCATCATCGATTAGATTAAAAGCAAACGCAATTTGTTCAATTAGTGTTTCAACCCCGCCAACATTTAACGTTGGGTTTAAAGCGGCGGCACAAGTAAAAATGGGGGGAATCTCCTTAAAATATTTTAAAAGTTTTCCCTTCATTGCAAAGCCAATTTTTTGAAAAACTTCGGTTTCAAATTCAAAGTCATTTAGTCGGGTAGCCAACAAAAATATTTGATTAAGAACCAACGGGCTAGTAAGATAATAAACACCGGATAAAAAAGTTGTTGCATTTTTAAAAACCCCAAGCAAATCGGTTATTTTGGCTATAGTTTCCCAACTCGAATCCGGATATATGTTTGGGACATGACCCCTCTCGAAAAACCGATCGTGAAATGTTTGCAATGTTTCCCTTTGCCTTAAGGCAGTATGCATCATCATCCAAGTTGAGTTCCAACGAGTTGGACAATCCAAATTAGGACCCAAAGCTTTTTTATTAACGGACTTACAAAATCGTTTATAATCATTTAGTCTTTTGTTGTTGTTACAAAGAACCTATTTTATCATTGTTTTAAATTCTAATCTAATCGGCTCAATAACCTCCAAACCGGCTTGCACGGATAAATTAATTATGTGTGCAACGCAACGGGTATGAAAAAACGCACCGTCTAAAATCGGTGAAAGTAATATTTTCAATCTTGGAACCACGTTTGTATTATTCGATGCATTATCAAAGGATATAGAAAAAACTTTATTTTCTAATTTATAAAGACAAATTACCCTTTTTAAAAGTGTAAATAAATTAGCATCGGTATGCGGCTCACCGAATAATTCAAACGCGATTGTTCTTTTCATCATTTGCCAATTATCTTGATCTAACCAATGTGACGTAACGGCTAAAAAAGAATTTCTGGTATTATGAGGGGAACTCCAAACGTCACATGTAAGCGATACACCATAACAGTGTTCTTGGAATCCTAAAATCATTTTTTCCCTCGCCGTACGCCACATTTTTATAGCATCTCTTCTAAGGGTAGTACAACTTACTTGAGTATAACGTGGTTGATTAGTTGTTGAATTGTTGTCGTGAAATCTTCATCATCAAAGTGGTCGAACGACAGTGCTTTTGTAATCACGAACTTTGTAAACGCTTCTCGTAATTTTTCGTTGTCGTAAACAAAATCACCACCTTGCGGTGTAAGATTCGATTGACTAGGATCCGATTTTGAGCGAAGTGCCTTGCATGATTTTGTCAAATGGTTCTTCAACGTTGTGTTTCCTTCCGATGCAAGCAACTTTAGACAAAGTTTACAACGCGCCCTCCTCGAGCCATTTGACATCTCACATAAATCGTAGTGATCCCAAATATCTTTGTTTCGAGTGTGTTCGATCACTCTCACAACTTCAAGGTTTCCCCCGACGGAAGATTCAGCCGTGTTACTCATGATGAACAAAAAATTACAAAAATAAGATTTGAGAGATGTTTAGGTGTTGTGTAATAAGATTTGAGAAAGTTGTAATCAACCAAATACATTCCCAACCTATTTATACATGTTTAGGGTAGGGGTGCACAAAAAATCCGAATATCTGATTTTGCGAAAAAAATATCCGAAACCGGATTTGGGAAAAACCGGTTTTTTTTAACCGTATCGGATTTTTTTAAACCGGTTTTTTTACCAGATAAAAAACCGGTTTGAAAAAAAAAACTGGTTTTTATCCGAAAAAAAAAACCGGTCTGGGTTTAAAAAACTAGCCGTTGGGGGGGGGGTTTGTGACCGTTTTTGACCGTTTTTTCTTTAAAAAATTACCATTTTACCACCCTAAACATGTATAAATAGGTTGGGGATATATTTGGTTGATTACAACTTTCTCAAATCTTATTACACAACACCAAAACATCTCTCAAATCTTATTTTTGTAATTTTTTGTTCATCATGAGTAACACGGCTGAATCTTCCGTCGGGGGAAACCTTGAAGTTGTGAGAGTGATCGAACACACTCGAAACAAAGATATTTGGGATCACTACGATTTATGTGAGATGTCAAATGGCTCGAGGAGGGCGCGTTGTAAACTTTGTCTAAAGTTACTTGCACCGGAAGGAAACACAACGTTGAAGAACTATTTGACATAATCATGCAAGGCACTTCGCTCAAGATCGGATCCAAGTCAATCAAATCTTACACCGTGAGGTGGTGTTTTTGTTTACGACAACGAAAAATTACGAAAAGCGTTTACAAAGTTCGTGATTACAAAAGCATTGCCGTTCGACCACTTTGATGATGAAGATTTCACGGCAACAATTCAACAACTAATGCAACCACGTTATACTCAAGTAAGTCGTACTACCCTTAGAAGAGATGCTATAAAAATGTGGCGTACGGCGAGGGAAAAATGATTTTAGGATTCCAAGAACACTGTTATGGTGTGTCACTTACATGTGACGTTTGGAGTTCATCTCATAATACCAGAAAAATTTTTTAGCCGTTACGGCACATTGGTTAGATCAAGATAATTAGCAAATGATGAAAAGAACAATCGCGTTTGAATTATTCGGTGAGCCGCATACCGGTGCTAATTTATTTACACTTTTAAAAAGGGTAATTTGTCTTTATAAATTAGAAAATAAAGTTTTTTCTATATCCTTTGATAATACATCGAATAATACAAACGCGGTTCCAAAATTGAAAATATTACTTTTACCGATTTTAGACGGTGCGTTTTTTCATACCCGTTGCGTTGCACACATAATTAATTTATCCGTGCAAGCCGGTTTGGAGGTTATTGAGCCGATTAGATTAGAATTTAAAACAATGATAAAATCGATTCTTTGTAACAACAACAAAAGACTAAATGATTATAAACGATTTTGTAAGTCGGTTAATAAAAAGCTTTGGGTCCTAATTTGGATTGTCCAACTCGTTGGAACTCAACTTGGATGATGATGCATACCGCCTTAAGGCAAAGGGAAACATTTCAAACATTTCACGATCGGCTTTTCGAGAGGGGTCATGTCCCAAACATTTATCCGGATTCGAGTTGGGAAACTATAGCCAAAATAACCGATTTGCTTGGGGTTTTTAAAAATGCAACTACTTTTTTATCCGGTGTTTATTACCCTACTAGCCCGTTGGTTCTTAATCAAATATTTTTGTTGGCTACCCGACTAAATGACTTTGAATTTGAAATGAAGTTTTTCAAGAAATTGGCTTTGCAATGAAGGAAAAACTTTTAAAATATTTTAAGGAGATTCCCCCAATTTTTACTTGTGCCGCCGCTTTAAACCCAACGTTAAATGTTGGCGGGGTTGAAACACTAATTGAACAAATTACGTTTGCTTTTAATCTAACCGATGATGAACCCAACTTTGTCCAAAACCAAATAAATTATTTTAACAAATGTTTTCGAGACATGTTTGCAATTTATTTAACTAAATATGGATCAAGTAGTGTAATACACGATTAAATGAGAACGAATGTGGAATCATCTAGTAGACATCCAAGTAACATAAATTTGAATCTTTTTAACACTCTTGGAAATTCCCAATCCAAACGATCACGTACTAC